TGCAAACTTACTGAGGGAGCACTCAATCAAGTATTAATGATATTAATGAGATAATGTGTTTTTGAGAAATAAGGATTTGGGGAAAAAGGAATTTTTCCTTTTTGAAGTCTCCCTTCTGTTTTTTCTAAATGTCAATAACTAAAAGTAGCTTGGTCTAACATTCAAATTTGTATATATTTTCTGTCTTGTCCTTAATGATAGCTAGTGCTAGAGAATTTACTCATTATATTGTATATTTAGTTCTGATGTTATTTGTGAGGAATGTTTGTGCACCTAAGAGTTTGTATGAACACTAGATGCTATAGAAACCTACAGGATTTGGAGACTTCACAAATATACTAGTTACATGTTAGGGGATTTCAGAGCTTGTAGGTGTATTGCTTGATCATTCCAATTCTTAAATTATTTGTTTAAGGAGACTGGAAAATTTGACAGAAATCAATCTTTTTTTATATAATTAAACTGCATGCCTCGGTCAAACTAAAAATCCTGCAGTCTGTTTGACTCTTGTGATTTCCTTTAGCCTCATCATTAGGGCCAAAGAAACTTAAAAGCTCCATTGTGTCCAGATCTTACAAAATCTGAGCACAGTATCTCATACATATGGAGCGTGCAAGTTAAGTAACTCCTTTTGTAGAGCTTATGAGGTCCTCAGGTAAGGGCAGCGAAGAGTGGAAAGTATTAATTAAATATAAATAACAAACTTGCATCTGTAGTCGGTCCAATCATATTGAGCTAAAACTGGCATGCAGGACCCTTTCTCTCGTCTTGTCTGGTTCTTTCCTGCAGGTGTTGCTTCCCTTTAGGAGCCCAAAACCATGAGCCCCATCCTCCTCTGTTAGGCTTTGAGTTTGTCTATTTCCCTGCTGCTGATTTCAGAGGCATTTCCAGGTTTGATGTAGAATTGCTCGGAAATGCAACGTAATTAATCCTTTGCCCTCTCTTTTCCAGACGGTGCATTCAGATTGTGCACAAGCTGCTGTGCTACCAGAAGAAATGCAGAGTGAGGCTTCATTACACCTGGAGGGAGCTCTGGTCAGGTACTTTGCATATGCAGAGACAGTCAAATATGAAAAGCCCAGAGTGGGTGGCTGTTTGGTGGCCATGACTGCTTGTTCCATTGCTACAGGGTTAAACAGCAAGCAGCAATTCTGTTAAAGCATCTTTATTTTGCTTCTTAGTTGCTACATGCAAACTACCTCTTTTGGAAAGCCAGGTCATTATCATAATGGTAGCTAATTTACTTTCTTGTCTGGCCATGACCACCATGGTATCTAAGTGTCTTTGTTTTTCTGTTTCATTACCTGAGTCGCTCTTCACCTGATAGGAGAAATTGAGTAATGTTTTGTGCAGTAGTGTTTCTCTCTCAGATATTTGTGAGTAGAAAGAAGGTAGGCTTTTGGGTAACGGGAGGTGAACCTTACTTTTCCTTTTTACTGTAAGAGATGGATACACAGCTCCTTCTGAAGACAGCAACCTAGAAATGTCAGTGGGAGGGAAGAGAGGCTTTTAACGCTGACCTTTGCATTGATGGCGGATAGTCTCGTTCATGCTACTGGTATCCCGAGATAGATAAGTATTATGGGGTTTGACTTGTTTCTCATAATCTAGTGGATGTAGCTTTGTAGGACTGTTTTATGATGCCATCATTGTGTGGGAGGTCTGAGGAAGGAGGTAGCAAACTGGATGATGAGACCTAACAGGCTTCTTTCGTGGATATGGTGTGTGCTTCCATTCTTATCTTGCAAGCAGTGAAGTAGCTCAGCTCAGCTAGGACAGTACAATTAATCCCCTAGCTGTTGTGGCTTAAACAAGAGGTTTATGAAAATTCAAGGGAATGTGGCCCTAGTTGTGTATTCCTGGAGCTGTGCTTGAGACCTAGGATCAGCAACTTGGCTGGTGTAATGCAACTCCCATCAGAAATTTGAGAGAGGATGACTTTTGAAAAGGCCATGATGAGTGGTTTGTGAAGCTGTTCTCAATTAACACTGGGTACTTCCCTTCAGTAGCTTTGCACAGCTGAGTGTAGGTATAGAGAAATGAACCAACAGCCTGAGTCACTTTCAGTTATTAAATTTTTGCCTTGTGTGACATGTGGCCCATTCTTATTCCTGTAGAAGGTGAAGTGGGTGCCCCTAATTAAGGGATTAGTGATTTCTTTTCAGTTGTTTTCTTCAGAGCAGAGCCCCTAGAGGCATGGCTGCAGTGTAGTGCCGGTTCAGGAGAAGAGTGTGCACAATGTGGATGTCTGTTGTGAATAGAAATTGCGTCTGACAGTGTGTGTGTGGTATCTTCTCAGCAGTTACCAGTGAACTGGATCCATTCCTATTTGGCCAGGCTGAGCTGGGTCTTTCCTACGCACTGGCCCTATGGAAGTCTCAAATATAATGCCTTCTGCTTGAAGGTACTGTTCCACAGTTCAGAGAGCACACTCTTAGGCGTCTTTCAATTCTTAACTTTCCCTGTTTTAGGGGGAAAAAATAAAAATCCTTGCTACACACTGAGATTCAGTATCTTGGGATATTCTTGTTAGCTGTCTCTAATTAGCAGATGTTTGTATAGTGCTTCGGAAACGTAAAGTGCCTCAGAAGTGTTAAGTACTGCACATGCTTCGAAAGCAAAGGAGTAAAGTGAAAAGAACTCAAATTGGTCAAGTCTCTGTAAAGGACCTGGAATGTCTGCACACCTGGTATAGCTGAAGACCTCCATGCTTACTATAGATTTCTGTAAGTTTAGGGAGATCCTCTCATGCAGGAGTAAATTACAATAAGAATGTTTCAAATTTTTTCTTAGAGGATGTTGAGGTGAACAGAGATATTCTTCAGTAGCTGCTAGGTGTTTCATACAGGCTGGAAAGACCCTGGGTTGAATGGTGCGTGCACCTGTAAAAGGGCACATCCTGGCTGCTGCAGGTGTGTGCTTCTAGATTGCTATATGTGGCAGACTAAATGCTAATTGCCAGCCCTGTCTTGAGATATATTTCATAATTAACTCTTATTCCTGTCAAGGCTGTTCTTTGATTACCCAGAATGCTGCTGCCTTTGATCTGAAAGAATGGCTATTTTTCTGGTCTTGATCTATCTGACAGACGATTCCAAACCAGAGCACAGGGACTTCTGAATTAATTTCTATCTTTTATGTGAGCATATTCCCCTTCGGGCTTTTATTTTGGATCAAAGAATTAGTTATCACTGCTGGATGAACAGCTAAAAGGGAGCAGCTATTCACTGTAAGGTCTGAGATCTCATGTTGCCCCATCAGGCATGCTTTACAGAAGGTCTTCAAGCCCACACTTGTCTTCTTGAATGACAAGGTGTGTGATGACTGAAGCAATGCCCCTGTTGTGCAGTGTGGATAATAGCAGTGGAAGCCCCCCAACAGAGCTGAGTGGAACAAAGAAGCTGGAGGGAATTGGCATAAGAAATATTGAAAGAAAGGGAGAGAATTCTACCTGGCACGTAAAAGTAGGAGAGTTGTTTCAGGCAGAAAATTGAGTGGGAGAAGAAGACAAAGGTAATACTGTGGGGTAGGTAGTCAGTATAGGGTGTGGAGGAACTGAGATAAAGGTTGTAGGTGGAAGCAGTAGTGATGTATGGAGCCTTCTGTTCACTTGCCAATTCTAATGTTAGCTAGTCTCTAATTAAGGAAAGCCACTCGTGTGTCATCTGATGGATAGATGCTCTTCCTTTGTGGGTGCTTTGTCGTCAGTATGGAAGGCCAGCAGCACTTTAAGAAAGTTTCTGCATTTCCTTTTTTGATCTTAAGTTACAATGATTGCAGGGAAAAGCAGTGGAGCCAGGTGTTTGGCATCTCTCAGGACACATATCAGGCTGTTTGTGCAGTCTGTAATATGTCATAGTTTTTTTGGATATGCCACTATGTGGCACATTGCTTACATACGGTCTTACTTCTGTTGGACTTCCTTTTTCAACACCTGAGCTTGAGGAAGAGCAGTATCATTACTGAGTCTTTGGTTGTGATCCAGCCTTAGCTTCCCTATTAGATTAATGCTTGCATATTAAGTCAAGGGGCCAGGACCATGGCACTCAATACAATATAAATCTCTAGCTTGTGCGGACCAGATGACCAAGAATGTTTAGCTGATGGAGAATGATGCAGGAGTTTGAGAGCTGGAAGCAGGACTGACAGAAGGGAAGATCTGTAGGTGGCAAAAGTAGTATATATAAGCTGGCTCTAGCTAAAAGTAGTGTGAAAATAAATATCAGATCACTAGTGGAGCTAGATTCTGGAATATCCTAAAAAGAGCACTGGAGAGCGAAAAGCAATTGTAATTTGATTAGCCCATGAAAATGGTTACCAAATGCACTTACTGATAGGTGGACCAGACATTCAGATCCAGAGATGCCTGTTGATCTTGGTTCCTCTTTAATAGACCTTTTCAGTAGATTATTAGCTTCAGTTCAATCATCTGTGGCTCCTCCCTTTGACCGCTGAAGAAAATCTTCAGGTTTTTCTTCTGTGACAGTGTACCATTACTGGTGACTAGTCTGGAAATTTGGCCATGGTCAGAAACTGTAAGTGGATATGGTTGTGTTGACCTGTTCCCTTACAGACATTTTGGCCAATTGGAAATTTCCGGGACTGTTATGCTAGGTAATTTACACTTTTTAAACACTCATTTATTGAATGTCAAGTGTAAGATACTTCATAGAGCTGATAAGGAAACTTTACTCAGTAACAATCACTTCCCTGCTCTCAGAAATAGCATGTTATACCCAATGTTTTTTTTAAGTTCTGCTCCTTGTCATGTGAAAATGAGGTTGATTTTGCTGGTCATAAAGGTGGGGTTTGGGTTTTAATTGTTGAACTTTAACTAGTTTGTTCAGCACTTGATGATGGAAGGTGCTATGTATGTTGTTGCTGTCAAGCATATATAAGCTATGCCAAAAGAGTTTTCATGAGTCATTTAAGCTTTTTATATAAAAAGACCTCATTTCTTCAACTCCTCCCACCTCAAAATTAGTAATGCTTGAGCAATTCTCTCTGAGCTTAGGGTTGCAGGTAACTTCTTTGCAGTTGCTATGGTTTGCTTTAAGCAAAAGCCATGTTTAAAGAAACAGAAAAGCAATTCTAATATAGACTTATAATAGCAAGAGTAGATCATAAAAAATCTTAAATATAATAATGTATGATGGTGAAGTAGTAATTTATTAGGGCAATTGAATGCAAAGTAGGATTAAAAATGAGCTTTGCCATTAGTAAGTGTTGAAGATCAGTTTCCAAATTATTGTAACATAAGGGCTACAGTTTCTTATCTTGTAGCTTAGTTAATTTGATATGCACTGTTAAAATGAAGGTGCTTCAAATGTGTAGCACTATGAAAAAGTTAATTTTTCTCCATTTTTATTTTAGGATTATCAAAGCAGACTTTTGCAATGCTACTGGACAAAATTTCCCCCTTTTTGTAGACTCCTTAGATCTTTTTGTCAGTTTCTGTATTTATAACATGAGGATAATATTGCTTTCACAATCTTTTTGGGTGAATAGTAAAGAGGTGAAAGGTTCCTCTGTGGAACACTTTAAAATAAAGAAGCAATATTTTTGGGGGGAGAAAAAAACCCCCACTTTCAGTATGTATAACACACTTGCCCTTATACAGGGCATGTTTAAGGTGGTATTGTTTAGTCACTTATACTTCGTTTTGTTATTTCTGTGGCTGAAATATTGATTACTGCTAGTATTTGTTACCTATGGCATTTCTGGTTCTCCAGCTGTTGATCAGGTCTGCTTCAGCCCTCTGATTTGTGTTGCTGAACAGATTGGAAATCAGGTGATGTTGCGTCTCCCCTTCATCTCTAATCCTGCTGTCACTGTCACATTCTGCAGCAGCTGCCTGGCAAGGGAAACTTGTCTTCTTGCAGCTCTTGTGGAGGCAGGATACTGGTGTAGCAGACAGTATAGTTCACTGGTAAAATGCCTATCGCTACGTGCCATGAGAGTTTGAAAGACTATAGAGCTGCTTGGCCAGTTAGCAAATGACTTAAAGATTTTAGGGAAAAGAATTAAAGACCTAAAATTT